AAACTAAGAGGTATGACATATTTTTGATAAACTTGAAAATTACAAAAGTCACTGTCCCGATGCCCGAGTGAAACGTCAAACATCGAGTGACAATTTTTTGTTTGCAGTGGGCGTCATTTCATTGATGAATATTTGTTAATTGTCCACAAGAGTCAGCATAATATGGTGGCCATATGCCTCGAATATGCGGCTTGGTTAGGTTTGTCTACAAATGGTGCGTTTGTTCGCTGGGCTGGCTATGAATTCTTCCATGCTACAAATAAGACGCTAACTAGCGTGAAGCACCCGGTACCCAGAGGAAAAAAGCATTGCTATAGGCTGATTGCTATTCAGCAAGTAGTTCGTATCTTAAAGTGAAAGGATCATTTCCATCATATTTTGATCATTTAGCCACTGTTTTCGTAGTTTTTCTACCATTCGGGAAACCTCATTTAGACTATCCATTGAAGCCAGACAAGGCGATCAGTACGCGTTGGCCAATAACATATGTCTCATATGTCAAGGTGAATTGTAAACCACAAGGTCGCTTTACAACTGTACCAGATGCAATGGTGGGCAGAACATTATTTATTTTATAAGAGTGATCGCCAGCATGCCGCAAGCGGAATTCTTGTAGTCTTTCCTTCTAGCAGAACCACTGTACTTTCAAATGGACTTTAGCAAAAAGCACCAACAAATGTCTGTTTTACCATAATGATGATGAATTCAATGCGAAAAGTGGACTAAGTCAACAAGTGACTTATCGTATGAGGGAATCTATCGAAAATTCCTGAGAGAAACTTCGGACGCGGAACGTGCCTTCTCTGCACTTCAGCTGTTAGCGTGTTCCGTAGTCAGATGTGGAAATTTGTGTAGCTCAGTTGACTTCCTGTTCTGTGAGTACTTGTGTGTGGGTGACGGTTCGAGTTGTATATTCATGTATTTTTGCGGTGTGAAGAGAGGGGTGCCTCTTCGTATTGGATACTTCCATGAACATGAATACAGCTTGGCCTGGTGTGTTAAATTGAGTAAGCACGGTCCGTAACGGAGGTGGTAGCCACGTAAACAGAATGGATGTCATGGGTCGGGAAATATCACGTGCTTATAGAGTTTTTGACGAGCGATCTAGCGGATGACTTCTTCAAAGGAAACCTGACTACTTAAAGATAGAACATAGCGCATGACTAATGGATGGTGCACTCAGAATTCTAAAAGAGTCTGATAAAAATATTTGTGCCTTTCGCGTTTACCAGCCCATATTGCCGAACAATGTCGTCATTGCTAGTTTTGGTGCCTCAACATGTCAGACAATTTCCATACGTTTCTACAAAATTAGCACATTTCCCAGCACTTTGTTCCAGATATCTATTCAAGTTGTAGAATCATGTAAGGCGCTTAGTCGAGAATACTTATTTTGCAGGTTTTAATATATACTTTGCGGTTCATTGTGCCTTACTAGATAACTGGGGCAATTCTGACGCAACCAAATATATTGGCTTATCACACAACCTTTTTGAGTTATTCTTGAAAATAATGATTAATGAATTATGATATGTAAGCTGTGCATCGTTGTTCAGCTAAATTTGGCGAAACAATACAATGACTCTTAACCATAAAACGCTGGTCGATTTTTACGCTTTTAGAGGGGGCAAAGGATAAATTGGCCGAACTGGAAGGTAAGACTTCCCTTCAATTTGGTGACAGAATTTCTATTTTCCCGGATTTCCAAAACAGTTTTAAATTTTAAACTCACTGCGTTATTTTTTAGATGTAAGGCTAACAGCATGCGTCCGTCTGTATTATCCAGCACATACGTTTGTTCTCCATGTTTCACGGAAACTCGGATTGATACACAGGATCGGGGCTCTGCCTTAAGTTTCTTGTAGCGGTTTTATTCTTGCACTTCAGCGGCTGTCGTTCGCCTGAAGGTTATAAGTGAAGGAATAGTGTAGTACTGCACCTGAATTTTTCGACGCGGAGCAGTATGCTTGTACCCGTCTGTGCACGCATAAATTAGTGCCTGAATACGCTTTAAACTGGATTATAGAATGAGCTTGAACAACCGTCATAGGAAGGTTATTCCACGAATGGAGATGTAAATTTCCTTATTGAAAAGGTGCCCTCTGAATTCAGAAATTTTCTTACAATATTTCTACTCTGTTCGCTGGGTCAGCGGTGCAAACCCCTTTGGCCCCGTCTTTTCCATCAGGGCCTAATTAAGAATAAATCAAGCTTGGGGGCGACCTTTCACCACTAGAGGTCAAGCATCGCCAGACGCGTTTCCGAATCCATGATTCGGAGGCAGGAAACAATTTTTGTACCAACCCATTGGCTCCACTCAATAAGGTTGAAGTCTTTCGTGTGCCTTGAGTAGACAATCTGGTTAGCATATTCAAGTAGCGGTCTGACGTGTGCTGGGTGGAGTACTTGGATGTCCATGCGTGAAATGAGCGAGAGGGTGAGCCGAATTAACAGCACGACGGGGAACGCTTTCCGGGAGGATTCCCCATTTTCAGTGGGTAGAACATGTTTGGGGAGCCAGATAACAAAATTATTTTTGGCATCCCTCCCTTGATGTGTTGCGGTCATTTTTAACAATGCATGACTGAAGCATTCACTGAGTCTCCCCCAAGAATCATATCGACGCACTTTTCGTCATTCAGAAAAATGCCAGACGAAAGACCACTGATGGGAAGCATCCACATTCATTCTGGTGCACTGGATTTTGAAACAGGATTTACACGCTGTCCTGAAAAAGCATGTTTGGGCCCGCAAAAACATTTGGAAGGTCCGTGACCCTTACCAGAATACAGCAGTTGTCCCAAAAGGCAACCCTGGGAGACTGAAACGGACACGAAAGTTCGAGAAGAATGGATCGAACCCTAATATTAGCACCTGGATTCATTGTAGAATTTTCCCTCACATCATTTAACAATCGAGGGTGTGCAGCAGAAACACATGTGAGACTCGGAAATTACGGCGTCCAATGTGGGTCCGTCGTCCTTGGCTTGTTTTAACCTGTGGAAAATTGGAGCATGTTCGTCACACATGAACGGGTCTGTAGAAATCCGTTTTTGTCTGTAGATTTCAATTTGTTGGAACAGGGTGACCCAGTTGATTCGCTTCAGAATGCATTTACTTACCTTGCACAGCAAGCTGGTGTGGCTTGTATGGCTGTAGCTGCAAGGCGATGGTCTTGGTTTTGTAGATTGGCGTGACAATCACCTTAATATAAGCAGAGGGAAGGGAGCCTTCATTAAGCGACTGAAAAAAAACACCAGGTAGAAATAACCTGCCACTGTGGAAAACATTTATTTCAAGATGCGTGGATGGACCACGTTGGTCCTTACGAGCATAATGGCTTGATCTTGTGAAAGAGTTAACGAGCGTCTTCCACCGTTAGGACCATGTCGCTAAGGGGCCGTTCCTGGTCACGCCTTGGTAAGAGCGGATGTGAAAAGAAGACGAGGGCTGAATAGAGCCCTTCAGAGTGTTCTCTGGAGACTTCGGATACCACCGTTAGGTCACTGGTTTCTTTCCTGTTATCTTGCCTCAATGAGAAAAAGGATGCCTTGTTTCGGTGGAGGTGTATCTTATATACTGTCAACATATTTCTCTTTTTGGAACGAGGTCCATGATGCTCGCTTGTCTGTAGGTCCCGTGGGCGGATTGCCGGATTACAGCGATTCCGTATTCCACAAAATACCACCTCATCTTTATCTCCCGTAGTCAACTATTGGGAAAAAAGTGAGACAAATTTTCCAAAGGACATCGAATCTCTTTGGGTAACCTGTGGCTTGTTTGACCACGGGTTGGTTTTTCAGGTGAGCATCCGTGAACTTTTTGGACAACGGTTCTATAAAATTCCTTCACTGAAGCTGGACCCAGTTAAACTCATTGAAGAAGGATGCGCATTCCTGGAAATTTTGCACTGCAAAGTTTTTCAATGCACATTCAAAATTCAGGATTGTTGAAATACTTCAGTCCGCGACGCCGTAGAACGGAGACTTGATCTGACGCGACTGAAATTCGTCCGGGTCACCTTTGGAACATGGTAGCCACCAGTAGGAAATGAATGAAATGGTAACTGAAGTTTTGTATAACGAATTGGGACTGTTGAGCCGGACACGTGGAGCAATGGTGGACTATCCAGACAGGAACAAAAGAGGACTAGCGCAGCGAGACTATGATGCACAGCTCATCACAACAAGTTTCAGGAGTAGTGCCAGTAAGAAAAATGGGGACGGGCAGGGCAGCACATAAGTATAAAGCGGTCACACTCTTGACGGTGTGGAGCCCAGAGGTACTTTATGCGTTGCGTATGCGTGAGAATTGGCTTCACCAGATTATCTCTGCCTCTGGTAGTCGGGAGTTTTTTAGTGGTTGAATGGAAACTGCTGTCTCGAGAAGCCGCAGGTCGCAACTGCCTGCTTCCAGGGGCACAGAGAGCTGAGACTCTAACCGGTTTAGCCATAAGCTTGAGGTCCTGCAGACTAGCACTAATCGGAACGCTGTGTCACTCATGTCCCCCCGAACTGGTGTGGTCCCGCTTTTGCACCTCCAGTGGGCGGGCTCCAGATTGACGCCTGATCCCTGGTTAGGCCTTAGAATGTCTACAACCCGCTCCGAGATCTGCTTCGGGCACGTTGATAAGAAATCAGGACCAGAATCCCCGATGTTTGCTTGCTTTCCTTTCGGCGAAATGAAACTGCTTAAAGCGGTTTGTGGACAGACCATGTAAGATCACTGTCCAGAAGCGACTGTGTCAACCACTTTGTCGTGATTTTTCTTGAAAATTACCCCAGAATAATTAGTCTCCTCGTGCCTTTTTACTATAGATAACGGTGAGCTTCACATTGCCGCATCAGACAGCTGGTAAAACTTTTTCGTTGTCAGCTAACCCGGGATGGATGGGTGGTTTTCGCTTAGCAAAACAATGTCATTCTCAAGTTTCGTCCAGGTCGCTCCGATCTTGGAGTTCGGATTATCCAGCGCCGAGTAATACGAATAAAGCGAAACACTCATACTGGTCCTCTTGATTCAGCAGTGGGTTTGGTGGCCTTTTTATTTGCAGTGTGCATTGCACCTTCATTGTAGTGTCTGCTGGAGCAGGCAAACGGTTTAAGAGAGTAAGCTAGTTGGCGTACATCAACATCCAGTGAACCCGCCTTGCATGCGGCGCATTGCATAGTGCGTCTTACGTTCGACATACTGTCATGTTGTCTACATTTATTCCGGTTCATCGATGGCAGACTGCACTCTGTATGCGGTGGCGTAAGAATTGAGCCTGTTGCGAAAAACAGAGTTCATCAGGTAAACGTGATACGTGTGTACGTACACATATGTGTATCCTGTACATATGTTGGATAGTGGAAACGTTCTTTCACAAAGTTGCGCGATGCAGAAACTAAATCAATTTTGAACGTCCCGCGGTTGGCGTCGTTTGATTACTCTAGGCCTTACACGATTGTCCTATATAAGCCCACTGGTAGGTGATACTTTTGTTACGAAAATAACTAGAATTTTCGTGCAGATGCACTTCAGTTGACGACATAAGGAATTACGTGTAGTCCTGTTGACACTCATTTTCCCAGTCCCTAGTATTGCTGGCTGGGCAAACATAAGTTTACACAAAAACAGATTGGTTATATATTTAAGGCCTGAACGTGTTATCCATGTTATAAATGAGCAGTCAAATTAGCCAATGGAAAAAATATTTCAACTTTGGTAACACAATAATAGCTTGTAGCTACCCTTTCGCCACATGCATGACTGTAAGGTCACCGACACTCGCTAGATCACCAGATCTGTCT